AACTGAATTGTGCACTTTAAATTTATCAACTGGCAACACCCTTCATTCATTGAATTATCTGTCCCCGAAATGGTAATTTTGATCCTTCAAGTATGTCCCAACTGCAGTGCCTTCAGCACTTTGTTTTAAATTGTATACGCTTTCAACTTTATAAATTCATCTCTTTAGAATATGAACTCTGTTCCAATTTATAAACTAAAATGACAACTTCGATCAAGACAAATCTTCGGATGTAAACTATCAACTTTCCAAAGGAATCTTATAAAATGAAACACTTCGCTCAATAAATCTTCTCAAATATTAACGTAAACACGAATCTGCATCTAAACTTGAACCTGAACCTCAACCGTCTGGAAACCTACAAAAGCATTATAAGTGTCTTACGCATATATATAGATTAACATTACGTTTATAAACACTTATTAACCCATTACTTCATGAGCATTTTGTGAAAAATGGCTGTTTTCATTGAAAAGTCTCCCGTTACAAGTTCAAATTGCTATAATACTATAAAAACTGCTTCAACACTAATCAAACTTGGCACAAATGTTGACTGGACCATTGCCCTTGCAACAACATGCTCAGGCATAAATTTTCTGTTACCATGGCAACGAGGGGACATCTCAAAATTGCCAAAAATCACTATTTGCGTTGATTTTTTTCCATCAAAATTGATTTCAAAGTGCTGCAACTTCTCAATGGATTGAGATAGAGTCAAATGCTTTTCAGCGTTGGTTACACGTTACCTTATGATAAATCTGGGGTCATTTACAGCCTCTCACAAGTCCAAAATTTTCTTGGCGATGAGGGGGACTCCGCCCCCCTTACAACCCCCCTTACAGAAGTGGGCACATCCCCCTTCTGGCAACCCCCTGATGTATCTTTTGGTTGGGGGGCCGCGCCGAAAAAGAGGTCACTTTTTTTAACAACATTTCTCAAACTAAAACAAGTGTTTGGGGGCCTAAATAAGGCATTTTTTCATCATTTGAGACAACAAAAAAAGGGGGTGAAAAAGGCGTTAAAAGGCGTGTATATGAAGTAATGGGTTAACAGAAAATGATGAAAATACTTGAAATTACCCTTAATCGCGTTTTTTCATGTTTAAACATGATCTGTCATATAAATTTGAAGAAAAATTGTTGTTTTGTAGATTTTTTTATTTTTTTCATTAAAAAACTAATATAAAATGCATTTGTAACGATTAACCAATAATAATTTTAACATGATTATCTTATATATATCTAAATAATTTGTACACCATTAATTGGGAAAAGTTAACTCAATTAATCATCATTTCATAGACTGTAGACTGTGCAACAGACTTACAATTTATGATGATCTGTACTCCATTAATGGAGAAAAGTTAACTCAATTAATCATCTTTTCATAGACTGTGCAACAGACTTATCATATGCGCCGTCAACTGTGGGCACAACGTGATCAGTTTACGCACAACCAAATTACTATAAGTAATAGAGATATTATTCTTTCTCAAAATTCTGCTAGAAATAAAAAACACTCATATAATGAAAAGTCGAAGTGTTAGTCATGTCGAACAAAAAATTGTGAAACCATAGAAATAGGTGATATAGTGTACTTATACTCCGACAAAACTAAACATGCTTCTCGACAGCGATACATTGTAGTTTCCGTTGATGGTGATTGGTGTTTCATAAAGAAATTCACTGGTAACCAATTACGTTCTTCCTCATACAAGGTGAAAGATCGGAATGTTTTCGTGTGCCTTCTAATATATGTGATATATCTCATAACATCCCAAATCTGGCAGAATCATGTTTGTGATAGTGATTCGGAGATATGTGAAGGATTTACTGTTCAGGCACCTGTAACTCTTACAAATCTGTTCGATTCTGACGATGAGAGTTTTTCCCCTTTGATCGTTATGGAGCAAGTCCACGTTGATGATCACGACGTCGCGCTTATAGTGTATCATATACAAGTAGACCACAGCGTTCTCGGAAACCCAATAAGTACTTAGCTTATTATGTGAGATAATTACTTTGCAATATGAGACAACATATTCACCATTCCACAAATTTTGTTCAACGCTAGTTTAATATCAGATGTTGTTATTGAAATGCTGTTATTGTGAAATAGACTTCATTGCTATTACAATCTTGAAAATGTATTTTAACTTTAAGTCGACATTATGCGTGTTCAAGTTAATCCCACACATGTTTTAATATTGTTGAGTTTTCCAAAAGCATTGTTTCCTCTTTCAATCTAGCTAGTGTTATAAGTACTCAAACGTTTTAGTTGTTCACTACTTAAGTCATATAAGTACTATACAAGTCATGGGTGTGTAATTATATATCTTTATATATATCTTTACTGATCTGGTGTTGTTTGAATATACCTCGTCAAACAAAATGTTTTAATTTCAAAAGAAAAGAGGTCGCGCCAATAGTTGTACATATTGAGATTTGGTATAAGAATACCGTGTGTTACATGAGTTACTACTTAGCCATTTGCCGTGTAATAAAGTTAAATTGTTCGTTGGTGATTATTTCTCCTTACTGGCGATGCTTAATATTACGTAAAGAACAATTAATTTATAAATGAGTCTTAAACACTTAAAAAAAACTCTTAGTCTCTAACATACCGTCAGCTTTACTTATTCCTACACTTCCTTTTTATTACTTGTCATCAATGTGACCATTTAATTTATATGATAATGTCAACGATGTGATTTTGAACTTGCTACAGCTAACTTTATTGTCATCGATGTGACTTTTTTTAATTATGTCAAAAATTTGACCACTTTTTTCTTACACACAAATTATCGATTCCACCTCTCGTTCTCACAGCTTTCTTGCAAATTCACCATTTTATCTTGCATACACATTATTTAAATATTTCTCTCTCACACAAATAAACATAAAATAAACATGATTCCCACACTCTGTTAAAATAACAGATTATTAGGCAGGACGGGTGATAAAGAGATCCCTTAGAATTCCTTTGATTTTATCTGATCATAGCAAGTTAACCGCTAGTTCACCCTAAATTCCCCTCGAATTTGTCTGATATTGAATTGATATAACTTTATGTTCTGGCTTGTATTGTTAGAGCTTTTGTAAAAATAAAAATTAAAAGATTTTCTTGACAGTATTGTTTATAAGTAATGAATGAGTGTAAACTTTTAACAAAACGTCATTTCAAACTAACTATTTTTAACTGTTTTATGCAAACAACTTTAGGGAAGAAAGGGAAAATTAAAAAAAAAGTATAAGAAGAGGCCAATCTGGATAACAAAATACGTGGCTGATAAATAAGAGTTATTTCCATGAAAAAATAAAGTGCTGAGAGAAAAACATTCTTTAAAAGTGGAAATTAATTATCTTAACCGCATGAAAAGAGTCATACAAGTATTTAGGAAATTTAATGATATGTTTTAGTGATTTTATATATTAATTCCTCAGTGCTAAGTGTAAACCGACTTTCAGTTTGGGGTTGAGACAATACATTGTCTTTTTTGTTTCTTGTTAATAAGTATTAATGTGTAATAAGGAGTTTCACAAACAAGGAATCGGAAAAAAAGTTAAAAATAACCAGAGCTGTCGGTAGGACAGCACGCTCGACTATTCTTAGTGCTTGATAGTAAAAGTGCCGTGATAATGTAACAAAAGGGCAAATTTTTTCTTAAAACCCATGCTACAGTTATAGGCCTTGGAGAGAGTCCTATTATGCTCTCAAAGAAGAGTATGAACTTTCAACTTGTTTCAAAGCCAGATGTCAATGGACTTTGAAAATATCTGAGGTGGTATGCAAATTTTAAGGTAAATTCTAAGTCGAAAAAGGGACATTATTCTGTCAAAATGCTTGATAGAGTTACCTCCTCCTGTCCAACGATTGGGGGCATGATTGTAAACAAGTGTGCAAAGTTTCAAAGCCATATGTCAATGGACTTTGTAAATATTTGAGATGTTACAAAAACTTAAACTTAAATTCTTAGTCGGAAAAGGGACAAAATTCTATCAAAATGCCTGATAGAGTTACCTCATCCTGTGTAAACGTTGCGGCCATGATGGGAAACAAGTCTGCAAAGTATCAAAGCCATATGTCACTGGACTTTGAAAATAATTTAGATGGTATGCAAACTTTAATGCAATTTCTAAGTTGAAAAAGGGACATTATTCTGTCAAAATGCTTGATAGAGTTACCTCCTCCTGTCTAAAGATTGGGGGCATGATGGTAAACAAGTGTGCAAAGTTTCAAAGTCAAATGTCAATGGACTTTGTAAATATTTGAGGTGTTACAAAAACTTAAACGTAAATTCTAAGTCGAAAAAGGGACAACATTGTCAAAATGCTTGATAGAGGTACCTAATCCTGGATAAACGTTGGGGCCATGATGGTGAACAAGTCTGCAAAGTTTTAAAGCCGTATGTCAATGGACTTTGGAAATATTTGAGGTGCTACAAAAACTTTAACATAAGTGGGTACGCCGATGCCGAAGCTCGGATGACTAGTAGGATAGCTGTACTTATTCTTATCGAATAGTCGAGCTAAAAATGATGACTACTGGGACGAATATTAATAAATGATATCATAAATATTGCTGGTAAAAGAGAAAGATATCCCTCTACTTACTGTTCTTCTAATAGTTGCATGGTCACGTGGTTAAGGTGTATACCTCTCAACACACCGATCCTGCGATTGTCGCACATGAGGCTGGGCCTTGGAAGATTGATCTTTACATATAAATGGAAACTTCTTACATATGCATTTTCTTCAAGGATTAGATCTTGATTTAGATGTGACAATGTACTGATCTTTTTCAACATAAAGGTACAGTCAACCCTGTATATTGAGATCAGTTTAACAGAGTCGGGAATGTGATCGTTACTGCCTCTATGGTCTTAAGCACAAGCTGGGCTGTATTTGATATGGAAATTAATTCCAAAAAATCACCTTTATTAACAATAGATTAATTGACCTACTTTTTGATTGGTACTTACGCATCCGTTAAAATATCAATGTATAATTAAACGTACTTAAAACATTAGCTCAGACAATGGAAGGAAAAATGTTTATGGAATATTATAAATAAATTACTTCATTTCTGTGATTTGACAATGGAGTTTTCTTTTGCTTTAACTTTATTTTTTCTAGTGATTGCTGACTCCAAATGTAAGTTAAATTATAAAATACATCCTCTACCTTATTTTTTTACAGTTAACACATTATAAATCTTATGTTTTAACTAAACCATCTATTTAAGCTAATTATTGAAATCTTCTTTACTGATTATTAAAGAATTAAGGAAATTTAAAGGCACATATTACCTCAGAAACAAATACAGCTTTACTTCTTTAGAAAGTGCAAACATGAATTTCATGATGTTTAAAAAGTGCCTGGCGATAAATGTACAATAATTAAGCATAAAAGTAGCAAAATGTTATAAAGGTTTTGATTCCCAAACAGAATACTTATTCACTATAAATGTACTTATTGCCAAAAAGCGACTGATAAAAAAAATGGGTTCCGGTAAAATTGGCCAATGAATAAGTTTTTGATTACTATAAAATACACCAAAATTAAAAACCTTTTGATAAAATAATTGAAATGCATTTCTGAGGCATAATGGGCCTTTAAAAGGTACAGAATTTGCCCTTACTGCATTGATAACGCAGTAGAAATATAGTGAAAAATACTGCAAAGCCATTCATTACTCGCACATAACGTGTAAATTATCTGGAATCTTTTTACTTTCATAAAATGTCAGTACTCATTTTCAAGTTTGATTTTCTTAAATATTTTGGCTCATTTGGGGGCATGCAGATGAAAACAACAAATAAAACAAACAACAACATGTATATGCAGTATTTGCCAGACACAAATTAACAATACTAGCTCAGAGAATGAATTTTAGTTTCCTTAAATAAAAATATCAAGGAATATACGGTTATTCCCCCAAACTGAGTGAGACTAAAAAGGGATTGGAGCACTACACTAAATACCGTTTTCCGGTATATACCGGACACAGCGCTTGAATGATAAAATGCTAAAATCTTGCCTTTTTACCCAACGGAATGAACTTTAAAAGGTATAATTCATCTTTTCACGCCGATTTATGTATGATAATGAATGAAAAATTTGAAAATCGGCGAAAAAAAAAAAAGAAGTGTGTCTATTTTGTGATAATGATTTCCGCAAGCGTCTAGATGTACTGCTCCAATCCTGTATTGAGTTAAATCCTTTATTACTAGCTCAAGAAATGACGTCATGGAGCAGCGTTCAAATTTCAACATGTGACGTACCTCTGTTTGATACTCCATTTTCCATCTGCTGTTACACCGAAAATCTACCAAGCGATACTATTATCAGTTTCTCGAACAATTTTGGTCACGTGGCCAGAATAGAACCACCATGTTTCACGTTTTGGTATCATGGCGTAGAACAGAATTCCAATTTGACCTCAAATTGCAATGAGATTGGAAATATGAAGGTGTATAATCTGACGATACATGGTAAATTTCTACAAGACTATGCAAACGATACTTTCGAATGTGGTTACTATGTCAGAAAAAGAGAATTGAAAATAACTGGTAAGTGGTCATTACTTTTATGCAGATTAGTTTATACTAATTTATTTTAGTTCGATTGTTTAAGAAGCTATAAGCTCATTGAAACACTCTCGAATCCGTTCCTAGAACCAGTACTAAGCAATGAGTGTAAAGTTTCTTGCTCATCTGACGGTGTTTGAACCCATGCGGCCTGCAATCCTTACATTACCAGTCCGACACGTTAACCACTCGGCCCCGCCGCAATTTTTACAGATTTTATTTCATTGTAAAATTAATTTTGAATAAAATCTGTTTTGTTTGGGGTTTTTTTCTAATGCACAAGTAAATTATTGTATATTCCCGACCCACAAGCACTGAGAATAGTGGGGGTTTTGATCCTTTTTATTTGTTAAACTCTTTGTAAAGACCAATAAAGTTCCCCGCTAAATACCCATACACTGCGGGTTTGATATATCTCCGGCACAAGTCATTGGTCTCGTAGTACAGAGAAAGTACAATAACATTTTATATTTAAAGATAGGGGAAATACCTAGAGTTAAATATACACGGAAAAATTGGAAAATGTAATCAAATGTGTAAAACTTTAATATAGTCGAAAGATTTCAGATGAAAATGATGTTATGTCGACATTTAAAAGATGCAAAAATGTAAAAATAATTGATACAAAAAAAGATTTTGTTGTGGAAAAATTATAATGATGATTATATAAATTTGAACAGTCTGTGTAAAATACAAAATGAAAAGATTACTAATATTAAACTCTGCCGTGATTTTTTTTATTTATATTGTAATGTTAGTAAATATAACATATTCTACATCTCGCTGCTGAGCAACTGAAATATAGAAGAAATAGCTTAAGTGGTTTTTGCCGTATTTTCTTCGTCGGCAGATTTAACGTAATGTACGTCATTCGAAAAACTGCTGACCAGTTAAACATATAGTAGAATCTGTTGTCCAGTTTAACTTATAGTGAAAATTGCTGACCATTTAAATTAGAGATATAGAGACAATTATGTCTAGACGTAAGTTTCTTTTGTTTTTCAATGTTAGTAAATACAAACAAATTCTACATCTTACAAAACAATAAAATCACTGAAGACCAATTAAAACTCTAAAAGAAATTACTTAAGTGAGTTTATTTTCATTTTCCGTATTTTCACTTTAAAAATTTATTCTTCATTGCAGTGAAACATATTTTCCATATTTTCATTTGTGTCTTGTCGGACTTCTTTTTTCTAAATTCAGCCAATATCCAACATTTTAGGGCAGGTCTTTCAAATTGTAATGTCAAAAAGAGAAAAATGTATAAAATTATATCGCAACTCATGAAATATTTATTTTCATACCACTCGATAAAAATAAATCCGCATTTATCGAAAAGAAAACTTGAATACCCTCTATGTACTATTGACAATTAATTACTTTTTGCATCATTTAAATGTCAACATAACATTATTTTCATCTGAAATCTTTCGACATTTTTTTAATGTTTCACACAATTAATTACATTTTCCGTGTATGTTATATATTACTAAATAACTCTTCGAGTATTTCCCCTATCTTTTGATATAAAATGTTACTTTTATTTAGACGTTTTCAGTATACAAAAAAAGAAAGAAAGAAAAAAGTGTGATAGTGTGATGGCGACAGTGCGATAACGCGATGACGACAGTCCGATATCGCGTTGACGACAGCGCGATACCGCGATGGCGACAGTACGATACCGCAATTCAGACAGACAATGCGATAGTACTGTATCGCATTTTCGCCATCGCGTTATCGCACTGTCTTCATCATGTTATCGCATTGTCCCCATCGCATTTTCGTGCTGTCGAATTCGCGGTTTATACTGTCGTCATCGCACTGTTGCATTGTCGCCCTCTGGATGATAAAGTATAACCACAATGGCCCTCACGGTATTCCGTAAGAAAACTGACAATTTTCTATATTCAGTATTGCCCGTGCTCAAAATAACTTGTGCATTAGATCTTTAATCTTTTAATTTCAATTTCTGTCAATCTAACCATGATCCTTTGGCTTGCTTAATCTGCGAATCAAAAATACCTTTGCGCCACTGTTCTATAAGTACATTTCTTTTTGTTTACTTTAAAATCACCTGTCGTTTTGTATTTTTGAGTCCTAGATAGTCATACCACAAGACTTTTCTTACCTGGTTCAAGTCCTGTGTTGTATTTCAAGTTACAAAATGGTTTGGCAAGTAACATAAGATTATACCTACTCCAGTCTAACGTTACACTCCTTGAAGTCGATCAAGAAAACAACGTGACGTACCATGATAATGACGTTACGTTCAACGGAAATGTTCATCAAAACAACTTCTCCGCAAATATTCTAAACTTACAAGGACAAAGAAACGGGACTTATGTCTGTGAATACACCATTGATGATGGCACCACTATGCGAGACGGCATAACTTTTGTCGTTCTAAGTAAACTTGTTGTTTTTTTTTCTTTTAGTAAAAGTGTTTGTTTTTTTTAGTTGTAGATTCTGTTGCAACATGTCGTAAAAATAACATGGTCTGTCATTTTTCAAATGTATGGATTTTTTCCTAATGAATTTTGAATTTTTCTATTTAATCTCTTAGCATTTTTCTACGTGCCCACTTATTACAATCGCTAAGTAGATTCGTCGTTCGTTATCCTAAATCAGAGTTGTCGTTCTTGAATAAATACAAATTAGACGCTCAAACAGAGACAAAACAGGGTTGTCGTTCGTAGATAAAAGGCAATTTAACTTTCAAAGTAGAGTTGTAGTTTGAATTAACATCTTCACGCTTAAAGCAGGGTTAATTGTCGTTTGTAAATAGCAATAACACTCTCATAACATAGTTATCGTTCATAAGTAACAATGCCATGTCGCCAAACAGAGTTGTCGATCTTTACATACTTTGTGGTATGTCGCTCTGCCGGGCGCCAGACGAAAACACGAAAAAAAGACAAGGTCGCATCGTCGGATAGCCACGGTTTGTTTTACACGTAATCGGTAATAATCGGATAAATTCAATGGTCGGCCGCAATCGCAACTACTCGGTCCTTTCTAAGGACATCGAACACAATAGTATGAATACACAGAACGTATGCGGTATTTCGGTCTATTACCTACGCTAAGAAACTTAACATGTAAACAAATAGAAATTTAATGCTGGGAGTTGCTGACAAGTTTATTTCCAATATATGTAGTAAAAGTCCACCTAAAAAAGTGAATTTATAGGTACAAAAGCAAACAAGTAGAGTTGTTGATGCTAAAGCATCAATTAAGTCGCCGGATAGAAATATGATTGTATTATCATAAAGTAAAGAAAATATCAGTTTAATGGTTCGAGTATAAAGAAAAGAGGAACAAAAAGTTTAGTAATGTTTATTCATAAACACGTTTTCATGTACTTGCCACAATTATATCTTTCTTGCTATAAACTTTGTAAAAGAGTTTTATGCAATAAATTTATGTTATGTTATAATAAAACATCATATTTGAAGCAAACTTGCTTAGCAATTTTGTCAAGAAACTGTTATCATTATTAAATAAGCAAGTATTGTTTGGCAATATTTACCCTAGACTCATTTATTTTCGGGAGGTGTTTCGTTAGTTTTCATAACTTATTATGATTAATGTTAACAATTTTATTGTAAGTATAATTACATGTCTATATCAATTAATACTGCTCGATGGCATAGTGGTAAGTATAACGAAGTTGTAACCTAATATGCGCAAGTTCGAATCTTGGACAGATCCGGTTTGTAGTTTTCATAAATGGATTTTTATTATATCTTTTAACTATATGAAACATAAGTTGATAAATCATGAGTTTCGTTTCTAGCACTTTTTTATTCCATAATTTTTATAAATGGTGAAGTTTTGCAAAATACAAAAAATATCATAAAAGAAAACATAAAAAATCACTTTATCGAACCTACAGTCTTCAATTTGAAACTAACTGAAAATCTAACACCTTGTCATCGAGGCTTGTAAAGCAAGTGATATGCTTGTAATTCTACTTGTAATTCTACTTGTAATAGAAAGAGCATCGAAACACGAGGATATCTGATTTGTACGAGGGCGCGTAGCCTCCGAGTATTAATCAGATTGTCCAGTGTTTTGATGTTCTTTCTGTTTTTTATCATAGTCAAACATAAAATCACGTTCCCTGTTGTCACAATATGAAACCCCGGCAAAAAGGAACCAATGAACGAACATCTGAATATGAAATTTCTGTCGCTTTCCCTTTCTCTGCCGTCACAATATGTAAACCCAAGCAAAAATGAGCCAATCAATGGGCATGCTCTGGAGTGCGGGTAACTAATACCTGCACTCCAGTTAACGCACTGTGCATGTATATGTATACGATTTAACTCTGACACATTTTCAAAAGAAAGGTCCCCAAACTATGATAAAATTGCCATATACCGTTGTACCATACATTGAAATCCGTATGGTTTACTTCGGAATTCGATAATTACCAACAAATAATTACCGATCATCGAAAAGTGACTATGAAAATATATATTCTTAATTATTGCATAAAACAATGTAATTGATAATTACCGACAAATAATTACCGATCATCGAAATTTTGCAAAGTGACTATGAAAATATATATGCTAAATTATTGCATAAAACAATGCAATTCTACTGTAAGAGTGGTCCTGCATAAAAAAAATATTCGCTATCGAAAAAATATATAATTTAGTTGAAATCAATATTCCCGTCGTTACATACGATATAGTTAGCGTTTAATTGCCTTTCAGTGCGTATCAACACAAAGACAGTTTATTAGTTTTCTCTGTGTATCCAATATGATTCCGGCCCCCTACCGTCATACCGAGATTTTGTAATTATTCATACAAAATTACCTTGATTTGCACTTTATCAGCTTCTATACCTTGTGCCAACCATTCACAAGTTACCTTCAGCCATTTGTCACTATTAATACATTTTATAACAATAACATACAACGTGAAGTCACGTGATTCTTACAAAGAAACAGGGAGAAATAGTTTATAACTAAATAAAATAATAAAATAGAATAGGTCTTATAAGATATAAACAACCAGATAATTTAAAGTGTCATTTCAATTATCATGCATAATTTATTTATCATGAAATAGCAACGCTTGACACTTTGAAATAAGTAAAAGTATCCCTAAATTCAATGACTTATCCATAGGGATACATCATTAATTAATTTTATAAAAATTGTAAAGTTGCTTCTTAAGATGTCAAAATTTGAATATTTCATTTCATTGAGCAACGTTATTGTATGTTTGAATTTTTGAGATTACTGAAAACAATTGTAGTCATAAATTGTTCAGTAATTGATATGCTTTTATTTACAGATTTTAAGGCCTTCTCCTACCATAGGTATAATATTAAACTGTTACAAATATAGTCGCCGGTTTCTACCGGCGACTAACAATACATTATTGATATGTTTATTATTATGGTTGTAGAAACCGAAAGTACAAAAAACCAACCTGTTGACATTTAGTCGGATTTGTTTAAAATTGAAAACCAGTGGGCATATTTAAATTACAAATTGTTGTCAAAGCATAAGAGTACCGGAACAGAAATTAGATGTCAAATATATTCATTCGTTTTATATTATCTCTGTTTCTGTTTACATCTGAAACCACGTAGTAGGACTACTTTCAATTCGTTTTGTTTCCGAGGTTATTATAGATAATAGCTGAGGATGTTCCGATTGGGTTCGGTCGTGGGTATCCTACGATGACAAAGTGGTACCTTTGTCTTTATTTCGTCGAGGGCATAAATCAGCCAGCATAATAACCCGATATTATGCTACCTGTATAAATGATATGGGGAATTAGGGTAAAATTGTTCATACATTAAAGCTGTAAACATTTCGAAACATAAAATATTATAAATTAGATGTGTAAATTAACTGTATACAAGTAATAGAAAGAGCATCGAAACACAAGGCTATCTGATTTGTACGAGGGGACGTAGCCCCCGAGTATTAATCTGATTGGACTTGTAATCTAGGTGTATAACCACTGTATATTGCAAATTTGTATCATAGTTTGGGGACCTTTCTGTTGAAAATGTGTCAGAGTTAAATCGTATACATATACATGCACAGCGCGTTAACTGGAGTGCAGGTATTAGTTACCCGCACACCAGAGCATGTCCATTGATTGGCTAATTTTTGTTGGAGTTCACATATTGTGACGACAGAGAACGGGAAAGCGACAGAAATATCATATTCAGGTGTTCGTTCATTGATTCCTTTTTGCCGGGTTTCATATTGTGACAACAGGGAACGTGATTTTATGTTTGACTATGATACAAAACAGAAAGAACATCAAAACACTCGGCAATCTGATTAATACTCGGGGGCTACGCCCCCTCGTACAAATCAGATAGCCTCGTGTTTCGATGCTCTTTCTATTACTTAATACACGCCGAGTCGTCCCATTATTTCCAGTGTTGCTCTCATTCTCCTGCCTTTCATGAACACTGATATTACCGGTCCACACGTTTGAAATCTTTTGTTAAAAGGGAGGAATGGAGAGGGTTCGCATAACTGATGGAATGCAAGCCATCTTCCAACCAAATATGACATATGTCAATAATGGAGGCTGTATGGGTAAAAGTGTAAAAGAAAATTTATTTTTAGCACTGTTGACCTTGACTTGACTGGCCCCTAACTCCATAGGGTGGAAGAACCTATTATAGACGGCAATACATTATGACGGGACAAACACACGATCTAATACTTTTAAAACCACGAATCACAGAATAACACTAGCAGACACGTTTAAACAGGTAAACGGCTCATCAGATCTCACCGGTGGTAAAAATAACGATTCTGCGTCAAGTGAAATTCAAATAATAATTATTGTTGACAACTAAATGCATAATATTATTTCGTCGTTTATTTTGTTTATTTACAGGAAAACCAAAGGCGCCGGAAATCAGAAAATACCACGTGGGAAGTTTTTGGAAATGGAATATCAGGCACTCTAACTTGTGAGGGTACTTCTGATTTCGCCGGTCCACTTTTCTATAAACCTGCTGTAGCAGCCAATTTAATGACTGAATGGATCATCCCATCCGAAAACGATTGGCCAGGGAGAAACGTTGGTTACTTTTTATCAATCAATGGATCCTCAGCTAACATATCAATTTTTGATTGTAACGAAACGAATTTGTTGCCGATATATTGCAAAGTGTCAGAGAAGTCGCTTGTTTCGGACAAAAGCTTTGGGTTTGACCCTAACATTATGTGTAAGTATATCATTTTTATCGAAAAAACCGACTCGCCTTTTTGATATTACTAAAAAAAATCTTTTGGTGAAAAAGCATAAAAAATAGTTGTTAAGCCTCATTTTATGGCAAAGGCCTCAAATATACATGAATCCACATTTTTCTATTGCAAGCTAGTGCCTTATGTGTGGAAAGGAATTTACATAAGTCACACTTGACTTGTTTTCGAATCCACGAAATCTATCAGTTTGTATATGCTTACTGTAAATAGTTATGTTGTACAAATTGAAATAAAAATTCTTTAAACTAATGGCAAAGGGTCAAAATTATAAAACAAGTAGGCGACATACACCAATACCTACTGATAAAAGGTGATATGCCGAGAGCAAAAGAAGTATACCACTGAACATTTACACAAAATCGCGATATCTAGATATACTTGTTACCTTTTGTTGCAGGTCCGGAACTAGATTTATGGTCGGCTGATGAGGATTATGGATATGATGTTGATTTATTGTCGGCTGATGAGCATGATGAAGATGGTGTTGATTTTTTATATGTTCTTGGTTTTACTATATTTGCTGGTGTAATTGGTGCGTATTATTTTGTACTTTTCTTAAATAATGAACATTGTATATATAATCTGTACTTATATTTTCTTTATTTTTAAAGAAAAGCTTTACCATTGGTCATGTAATATCTATTGTATCTTGTCATGACAAGAGCGCCATATAAAGTATGTGATGTCAAAAAAAATACTAAATTTAAATATGATCGGTCAGAATCGGAAAATAAAATATATCAAGCAGAACAATGGTTTATCAACCAGAACCATGCTTTATCAACCAGAGACCGCTTCCGTCGTCGAGGGGTTAGAGCTGGTGACTTCTAATCCAGTTACCTCTTTGGCGTGGGTTCAATCCCCGGGAGATGCTTTGGTAGTTTAGCACGGAGGAAGGTAATCTAGTACTGGTGTAACTCACCAGGAACGATGGTTTGGAAACTACCTGCCTATATGACTGAAATACTGTTGGAAAAGGCGTAAAATGAAACAAACAAACAAACAAAATTATCAACCAGAACATGCTTTATTAACCAGAACAATGTTTTATTAAATAATGAACAATGGTTTATCAACCAGAACAATTCTTTATTAACCATAGCAATGCTTTATCAACCAGAACATTGCTTTTTTAAAATAATGAACAATGGATTATCAACCAGAACAATGCTTTATTAACCAAAGCAATGCTTTATCAACCAGCACAATGCTTTATCAACCAGAACAATGCTTTATCAACCAGAACAATGCTTTATTAACCAGAACAATGGTTTATCAACCAGAACAATGCTTTATTAACCAGAACAATGATTTATTAACCAAAACAATGGTTTATCAACCAGAACAATGCTTTATTAACCAGAGCAATGGTTTATCAACCAGAACAATGCTTTATTAACCAGATCAATGGTTTATCAACCAGAACAATGCTTTATCAACCAGAACAATGCTTAATTAACCAGAACAATGCTTTATCAACCAGAGCAAAAACCCTTTAAGCTCGACTTTTTCGAAGACAAAGTCCGAGCTACTTGCTACAGTCATGGATTACATTCCCGTATCCGTTGTTGTCGAAATAATTTTACATAGGCCTTTGAATGAGTATAAATTCAATACTGAATTCACTGAACGAGTTGAATAAAGTTATTTTATAAAGTTATATTATGCGAGCCTCTGGCGGGCATAATGTTATTTTATTGAACGAGTTCATTAATCCAGTATTGAAATTACACGAATATAATATTCTATTTTCACAGGTTTATTGTATGTTTTGTACACCATATGTTTTCCATATGTAAAACATATGTTTTGAAAAACATGTGTTTAAGAACATATGTTTTTTATATGTAAAATAACATATGTTAAACAGGACCATATGAAAAACATGTGTAACAAACATATATTAAACTCATTGTTATCAAATGTTTTCAATCTAAATAAATTTTATCATGTTAAATATATGTGAATATTTGTGTGTTTTTCATATGATAAATTTATGATCATATATTCTGGAAGATTTACACTTTGGATAGTCTTAATTAGATTCTACATGATTAAACATAATTTCTTAAAATATTCTTGGTTTATGCATATTATGTACAACTTGTAAATGTAGTAAATCCATGGGGGAAAAGTTGCCTTCACTTCCAATACTTCTTATCATGTTGAAAAAACAATAACAATGAAATACCTTTTTACTATTAGTTATAAAGATTTCTGACAGGTTATATGGCCCTATATAAACGGTTGTTTATAAATAAAAACCGAGCCGCTAGGCGAGGTTTATATTGCAAACAACCGTTTTATATATGGCCATTTAACATGTCAGAAATATTTATAACGAATTTATAATACAACAAGCATCATTTTTAGAGGAATAAAGCGAGATTTCTTTACAAATCGACGCCAGCCTTGTATATAAAACTATATAATCGTCACGATTATCTAATGAAAAGCGACGTAACAAACGTGCAGTATTATAAAAAAGAAAATAAATAAATGATAAATATCTTTTTGGAGGGACAGCTGATAGACAGACAGACAGATGCCGTCATTGGTCATCAGGTTACATGTGTCACATATAACAACATGATGTGGAAATACAAACATACATATTTTACAAAACTGGTAGTAAACAGGGTATTTGATAAACATGTGGATTGAATTAACATTATTATAAGTTAAATAACCTCATAATTATATAGTTATTACAATTGTTTTCCTAACATAAGGGAGAGACTATCAGAAAAATGCTAGACTATTCGACAGGTGCAAAATTTAGAAAATTCAAGTTCTAATTTTAGAAACAGTGTTTACTACATTTGTATACGACAGATTTTATGACTGGGTATGGAAAGCCATGGCTGTCTGATATTGTTCTTTTTCAAATTTTTTAACCATTTGGATAATATATAAGTTCACTTCGACTATGTATGAAATTGAAAACACCTTCTTATTTAACCGGAATCCATTATATTAATCCACAGTTACAATATATGAAACCATACTGTCAGTGTATGAAACCGAGTTAGCAATATATAAGTTGATTTTTCCCAATATATGATTCCAATTCTTCAATATATTGTACTAAAAGTAGCCCTGTATGGAACCAGATATCCTTATATGAAACCGAATTATCAATATATAAATTCATTTTTACAATATATGAAACCAATTAATCAATGTATGGAGCCGAATTTTCAATATATAAGTTGATTATCACAATATATGATACCAAGTTTTCAATATATGGAACCATACATGACTTACTTGGATCCATATATTGAAGATCTGGTATCATATAATGTGATAATCAACTTATATATTGATACTTCGGCTCCAAACATTGATAAATTGGTTTCATATATTGAAAAAATGAATTAATATATTGATAATTCGGTTTCATATAAGTACATCTGGTTCCATACATTACTACTTTGGTACCATATATTGAAGACCTGGTATCATATAATGTGATAATCGACTTATATATTGATACTTTGGTTCAATACATGGATGAAATGGTTTCATATATTGTAAAAATGAATTAATATATTGATAATTTGGTTCATATAAGGACACCTGGTTCCATACATTGCTACTTTGGTTCCATATATTGAATAATTGGTATAACCAACTCATACATTGCAACTTTGGTTCCATACATTTGATAAAATGGTTTCATATATTGTAAAAATGAATTAATATATTGATAATTCGGTTTCATATAAGGATATCTGGTTCCATACATGGCTACTTTGGTACCATATATTGAAGAATTGGAATCATATATTGAGAAAATCAACTTATATATTGCTAACTTGGTTTCATACACTGACAGTATGGTTTCATATATTGTAACTGTGGATTAATATAATGGATTCCGGTTAAAAAAGAAGGTATTTTCAATTCATATATAGTCGAAGTGAACTCATATATTATCCAAATGGTTACATAAATTGAAAAAGAACAATATCAGACAGCCATGGCTTTCCATACTACTGCGTGATCGACACGGTACGGCTGCGTCGATATTTTGCTGAGATGTGGTCTGCGCTGGTTCCGATTCGATTATTTCAACATTTGAAGTATTAATATTGTTCGTGGGCGTATTGGTTGCTGGATTAGTAGGTTTCATATGGCCGGCCCAGAATTCGGTGTATTTTTCTATATTTTGCCTTAAGTGAGAGAGACACATGCTCCTGGACGTTCTCATGTCGCAATCCTCTTAATACCGGGTACCAGTCAGGGAATTTATCATGTGTTATGGACCCTTTCACTTCGATTGCCGCCGGGAATTTGAACTTGACATTTTTAACACCGTGAGTTTCCCTCGCCTTTTTATAAAGGGACCAAAGTTCTTTCCTTGCCTCGGATATTTCTGCGAGGTAATCTCTGTTAATACTGATATTCGGTTTTGTACCTTTGAGATTTGGAGCTTTTTCAATAACCAATTCGACGTCGTGCGGGTCAGCAAACGTGACGACAATTTGCCTTGGTATTTCGCGACCCTGTATATATTTGCGTCTGCCGACTCGAAACGCCGCGTCTGATAACTACCTCCCCGTGTCTAGTACAGTTGCTCTCGTAACAATTGTCTAATCTTAATGACACAGTTTTCATCATAATTTTCGTGAATACCGATAAAACTAGGTTACTGGATCTCACACGCACCTCATGTTCAATAGATTTATATTCAAGTAATCGTAACCGGTTATCTACAATGTCCAACCTGGCCGTATTCATATACATGTGCGATTCAACAACC